AGGCCAGAAATGACAAAGTTTTGAGCTTCCCTGTTATAGCCTATGGGTGAAACATTGAAACAGCATCGGAACAGCGAAACTGTTGTGACAAAATGGAACGGAACAGCGGTTTTGAATCAAAACGAAATTTGAAATGAAATTCTGTTCCACCGAAATGTTGAAATGCAAATAAAAACGGAACGGTGCTATTTCACATAGCCCTATGGCTATCAACATCGCTGAGTAAGAGACCGCCCTTTAAGTAGATGAATGGTGTTATAGTTGAAAAAAAAAATGATATGATTCAATCTAGTTAGAAGATTAAAATCTTTCTTTCATAGTTCTCACCAGAATGTAAAGAGCAGGAAGCTCTTGTATGCTCCCATCCCTAAGATCATTCCTGAGAGAAAACATCTAATAAAAATAAGCATCTTACTCTGAAAAAGTTGGATATGCTCTGCTTGTGGATTGCTATAACTGGAATAGAATAATTCTCAAAGTATATGATTATAGCCTAATTTGAGTAGAACAATTCCTGAAGTATCTGATTTCCTCTTACTTAATGCCTGGGTAAAGTTATTTTCAGCTTGTTCACCTGGAAGACCTTGCATTCAGAGTGTAAAACACTTGCAACCATCTTCAGTTTAGAATGAAAGTAAAATAATACATTTTTAAAGTAAAAATAACAACTATAAAATATTGGTTCATGTTTTCTGAGATGGAGTTAGTTAAAACTAGATTTTCAGGTGTAACTGCAGAGCGGGATTAGAGGACTGGAGTTTTAATTTCCTTTAGACAGTAATACAATTGTCAATGTTTAAAGTACCCCAAAATATTATATACCTGTGAAGAATCGGAGGATACTTACCTAGGGTGGGCCCCTGCCCATGAGCATGGGTCCGGCAGGAGCAACACAGCCATGCTACAGCTGGAGGTGAGTGAACTGGCAAGACGACGGGCAGGTAGGGTGGTTGCCATACCCAGCCCAGAGACTGAAGTCCCCGGGACCAGAGCAAGAGACCAAGAGGTCTTGTGGGCTTGGAGGAGTCCTCAAAAAAAAAAAAAAATTAAAAGGAAAAGGAGAGAGAGAGAGAGAGAGAGGAAAGGGATACACTCTCTCTCTGCTTGTTTGTTGTTGTTGTTGTTGTGTGCTGATTAATCGCTGTAGGCAGCCAATTAAGCTGGACCAGTGGCAGCTAGGAGTGGAAGCAGGAAAAAAAAACCCTCACATTTTGCTTCCAACCCTGGGCAGCCTGGTTCCGAGGGCAGCTGAGTCCAGGAGAAGAACTCCCCCAAGCCTCTGTTTTGAAGGGAGGAGCTCAACGTGGCAAGGAAAGAGGGAACGTTTCCCCTGCCTAATCCGTGATCCTGATCAATCACTGCAGGCAGTCCATTGATCCGGTGTGGCGGCAATTAGAAAAAAAAACAAACATCTGCTTACGGTGCTGACAGTCAAGCACCTAGGAGAAGGTGGGCAGAGCAGAAGGGGGTTGCCTCAACCCTGACAACCAGGAAGGGAACTGGGCATAGCCAATGAAGTTTTCTTTTCATTTTTTTTTCTTTCTGTCTTTCACCAGCGTGGAACCCAGTGGTGTGAACCAGCTGCCAGTCATTGTTGGGGCAGGGAAGTCATTGCCCCTCCCTTTTTTTTTATACCCTTAACTATCAGAGTCATGGCAGGAAAGAATAGGAAAAGAGAGAGCCACCCCAACTAGACCAACGGAGGGTCAATATGCATGGGAGGGAACTGGTGAATGCCAAACGGGAGAAAGGGTGCGTGCCCGTATCCAGAGACCACCTGACAATACTGTCCTTGGCCCACTTGAGGGTCATAACACACAAGTTGAAAAGTGCTGGCATTTAAGGTAAGAGCATGTCATGATACTTTCTAGTCAACATTTAGCCTGTTTGTTTCTTTTCCCCACTTGGGGAATGAAGAACAAAACAGAAGTGAATGAGTTTCTCCTCTTGGG